TTGAATGTGTTTGAAACATTTAATAATTGATTTAAACCTATATAAAACGTTACCTAGTTATATAAAGGTTAAAACTTTACTAGCTCAACTTGAAAGGCTATAACTTTATTGTCTATAAGTTACACACATATTTTCATCTTGAATTAATGAGAAGATAGTTCTAATTAGTTATTTAAAGATTAAAGTGCCAATATGCAAGTATCTTTTTTTCCACTCGATTGTCCCCCCATGTGTGGAGAGAGAAACAAAACAACAGAGTTTTAACCAAACTTGAACATATAGTAGAAGTACTTGTGCTGACTTTATACAAAAATTCAAGTTCTAGGTAATCTAAACCCATAAAGATACCAAAATATAAAAAAGGTAATGCTATATTAACGCAAAATTAATATATTTAGATAAAGTGAAAAAAGTTTTAAAATACATCTCAAAATCAAGTTAAGTTTAACTATGATAAATTTTTTACAACCAACTCACAACTGACAAAATGTGGAATAGTGTTCAAGATAGCTACGGAAAGCNCCAAAAAATCACTCATTTCCGCTGCCGGGGTTCGATCCCGGAATCCAATATCTAGGGAATTACCAGTGCTACAGCGGATTCTTTGTGTTTTGTTTCGAAAAAAACTTTTTTATATATAAATAAAATATTTTCAATTGATCAAAGGGGAAATATTGGCAATCAAAACGCAAATCATATTCAATTTAAGCAAATACAAAGGCTAATCTACGACGAACAGTTNGCCGAAAAAGTTGCACCCCATAAGAAATAGCTAGCATTTGTGGATGACATTAAGGGCCTGTTTGATATGTTTTTTGGGTGGAGTTTAGATTGGTTTGTCCAAACCCGAGTTTGACCAAATATGAGATTCAAAGAAGGAATTCGATATTCAATGCTGTTCATACCCATGTTTGATATACGCANTGATTGCATAATGCGCAGCTCTATATATAATTGAGTGCATATCAAAATTACCGTTGTTGCTATGATTCCCAAAAACTTATAGAATATTCTCATTTATTCAAAAAAAATAAATACATATATTAAACACTCAATTTCTTTATTTACCTTAACGAAAAAATTTAACATTCTCAACTGCTATTGTCATCTATTTAAATGCGAACCCATCATACTGAATTCATTTAGTTATATAATTAGTTTTAATTTGAAACTTTACCTAACTAGGCTTGAATGTGTTTGAAACATTTAATAATTGATTTAAACCTATATAAAACGTTACCTAGTTATATAAAGGTTAAAACTTTACTAGCTCAACTTGAAAGGCTATAACTTTATTGTCTATAAGTTACACACATATTTTCATCTTGAATTAATGAGAAGATAGTTCTAATTAGTTATTTAAAGATTAAAGTGCCAATATGCAAGTATCTTTTTTTCCACTCGATTGTCCCCCCATGTGTGGAGAGAGAAACAAAACAACAGAGTTTAACCCAAACTTGAACATATAGTAGAAGTACTTGTGCTGACTTTATACAAAAATTCAAGTTCTAGGTAATCTAAACCCATAAAGATACCAAAATATAAAAAAGGTAATGCTATATTAACGCAAAATTAATATATTTAGATAAAGTGAAAAAAGTTTTAAAATACATCTCAAAATCAAGTTAAGTCTAACTATGATAAATTTTTTACAACCAACTCACAACTGACAAAATGTGGAATAGTGTTCAAGATAGCTACGGAAAGCTGTTAGATGGCAAGACCCAACAGCTCCCAGCAATCTCAAATTTCTACTATGAAGTTATTAAAGCATGTCTAATTGCAAAGAAAATGCAATTAATTTGAGTAATTGTCGAAAGTAATAACTTAACTGTGTTTATATTTTACGTTGAAAAAGATGCACCCCATAAGAAATAGCTAGCATTTGTGGATGACATTAAGGGCCTGTTTGATATGTTTTTTGGGTGGAGTTTAGATTTGTTTGTCCAAACCCGAGTTTGACCAAATATGAGATTCAAAGAAGGAATTCGATATTCAATGCTGTTCATACCCATGTTTGATATACGCAGGGATATATGACTATTATAATAATATATTTATATTTAAATGACTATTGTATCCCTTAACTAATTTAATCCAAACATGAATATGAATATATGAGGGGTATTAATATCATTTGAATGTGAAATCTCCAAATCCACGTATGAAACCCACTTCCTCCCCGTAGGATTCATGAACAATGGTTACATAATCGGGTTATGACCGGGTCGGATTTTAAACCCTAAGTTAAATCTATAGTTATCAAATATGAACTTAAAAGAATTTAGTCTTTAACCCATATTCTAAAATTCCCAAACCCATGTACCGGACAAGCCCTAAGACTATTGCTGGCTCCCTCGTTCTTAGTAACAAGGCTAGTCATTCTAATTCCTCGTGGTACCCTAAATAAAATAATGTGAAATTAACGACGCAAAACAGATTTGGAAAGAGATCTCNTAAAGTGCCAATATGCAAGTATCTTTTTTTCCACTCGATTGTCCCCCCATGTGTGGAGAGAGAAACAAAACAACAGAGTTTAACCAAACTTGAACATATAGTAGAAGTACTTGTGCTGACTTTATACAAAAATTCAAGTTCTAGGTAATCTAAACCCATAAAGATACCAAAATATAAAAAAGGTAATGCTATATTAACGCAAAATTAATATATTTAGATAAAGTGAAAAAAGTTTTAAAATACATCTCAAAATCAAGTTAAGTCTAACTATGATAAATTTTTTACAACCAACTCACAACTGACAAAATGTGGAATAGTGTTCAAGATAGCTACGGAAAGCTGTTAGATGGCAAGACCCAACAGCTCCCAGCAATCTCAAATTTCTACTATGAAGTTATTAAAGCATGTCTAATTGCAAAGAAAATGCAATTAATTTGAGTAATTGTCGAAAGTAATAACTTAACTGTGTTTATATTTTACGTTGAAAAAGATGCACCCCATAAGAAATAGCTAGCATTTGTGGATGACATTAAGGGCCTGTTTGATATGTTTTTTGGGTGGAGTTTAGATTTGTTTGTCCAAACCCGAGTTTGACCAAATATGAGATTCAAAGAAGGAATTCGATATTCAATGCTGTTCATACCTATGTTTGGTATACGCAGAGATATATGACTATTATAATAATATATTTATATTTAAATGACTATTGTATCCCTTAACTAATTTAATTCAAACATGAATATGAATATATGAGGGGTATTAATATCATTTGAATGTGAAATCCCCAAATTCACGTATGAAACCCACTCCCTCCCCGTAGGATTCATGAACAATGGTTACATAATCGGGCTATGACCGGGTCGGATTTTAAACCCTAAGTTAAATCTATAGTTATCAAATATGAACTTAAAAGAATTTAGTCTTTAAGCCATATTCTAAAATTCCCAAACCCATGTACCGGACAAGCCCTAAGACTATTGCTGGCTCCCTCGTTCTTAGTAACAAGGCTAGTCATTCTAATTCCTCGTGGTACCCTAAATAAAATAATGTGAAATTAACGACGCAAAACAGATTTGGAAAGAGATCTCAAACTTCACCACCACGGAAGATCTTTTTCTACTAAATTACCTTGACAGCCACACTTTGTTAAACATCGAACACGTTGTTGAACTCCTCCACAGCACGTCAGCATCTGCCTAGCGTTTATCGCTCGTTACGTACAGCCTGTCCTTAGTTGTTAGACATNTTAAATGACTCCTGAAAGGCAAAACGGACCCGAAACCATTAAAAATCGATCACTTCCCTACCGAACCTAACCCCAAATCAACCCAATATATATATGTGAACTCGATGACCTCGAGCTATAAGATTCCCTCTTATTTTCGACCTCCACGACACTGATCTCTCTCTCNATTTAAATGACTCCTGAAAGGCAATAAACGGACCCGAAACCATTAAAAATCGATCACTTCCCTACCGAACCTAACCCCAAANAAGAATAACAGGCAATATTTGTCGAAAGTCTCCTCCCAGGACAACAGTGATACCCCCAAAAGGTCTTTTATCGTCTCTGATATCTTGAAGNAATCAACCCAATATATATATGTGAACTCGATGACCTCGAGCTATAAGATTCCCTCTTATTTTCGACCTCCACGACACTGATATATCTCTCTCTCTCTCGGTTGAAGCTTGGGCTCTTCGAGTTCGGCTTCACTCATAAGCTACAGTTTTCACGAGAAAAAAAGTTCCCAGCAATTGGAAGTATATCGCATCTATGTGTATGTATACGCGCGTACACAGTTTCTGAATAAAGAGAAATTGNTCTCTCTCTCTCTCTCTCTCTCTCGGTTGAAGCTTGGGCTCTTCGAGTTCGGCTTCACTCATAAGCNTATATCTCTCTCTCTCTCGGTTGAAGCTTGGGCTCTTCGAGTTCGGCTTCACTCATAAGCTACAGTTTTCACGAGAAAAAAAGTTCCCAGCAATTGGAAGTATATCGCATCTATGTGTATGTATACGCGCGTACACAGTTTCTGAATAAAGAGAAATTGGTCGATGATCGCGATCGATTGGCGGACGCGGATACTATTTATATTAATTAAATTGTTGAGTTTCAATTAGTCCCTCGTGAAGATTCTACGAGAATTATCAGCCAAAAAATATCTGTAGCGGGATTTTTTTTAAGTAAGTCGATAATTCATGAATCCAGACCAGTATCACTAAGGATTTTGTGAATTTGATGGATTTTAGTGAAGATCTTGCTTTAATTCGTTGAATTTTGTTGATTTTGGTTTTATAGTTGCAGGTAGGGTTTGTTACTTGGAGATTTTTCTTGGATCGGCAATGCAGGCTTTTTCTCTATTGGATTGGTATGATATGGTAATGAAAACGGTCTCAACTATGATTTTATTATGAATTTCAAAATGTAAGTGATTTGCGTTACTGCGTATAGTTGCTTTTTAATCGTGCAGGACTTGATTGTAGACAAGCGCAGTGACTGACTGACTTCTAGTTGGTGTCGTGATTGGTGTTTAAGCCAAGTCATGGCGCAGAGTAATTGGGAAGCTGATAAGATGTACGTAGCGTTCTTAGACTTCTTAATTTTTCTTCCTTTTTGTGCACTACATTTAATTGTTTCTCTCTTATTTTAACTGTTTATTCTCCCGATGAACAAACGAAGGAATAGAAAAATAAAATAGAATCTTCATCCCCTATATCTTAGAAAATTAACAGTAAAAGTGCTGTTGACTAAAACTGTTAACTAGCGATATTTAGGGCATTANCCCTATATCTTAGAAAATTAACAGTAAAAGTGCTGTTGACTAAAACTGTTAACTAACGATATTTAGGGCATTAGGTATAGATTAAAAAAAGGAAAGAAAGATAAAAAGGAAAAAACTAAATAATAGAATCAGTTGTNAGCGATATTTAGGGCATTAAGTATATATTAAAAAAAGGAAAGAAAGATAAAAAGGAAAAAACTAAATAATAGAATCAGTTGTTCAAGATTCAAATTTTGAATTTATTTCCTTGCTTAACTTTTCTTATACCAGACCAGATTGTGATTTTGGTTCTTTTCTTTCGCGCTAAAAGTAGTTTCAAGTTACTGCTGTGTTGATCTTTATTTGTATTTTCTGTCTGTTTTTGTAGGCTTGATGTTTACATTCATGACTACCTGTTGAAAAGAAAACTTCATGCTTCTGCAAAAGCTTTCATGACTGAAGGAAAGGTTGCTACCGACCCAGTAGGTAATATAGGTATTTGATAATATTATGGTCTAGTTCTGTGGTTGTTTATTCAAAGGGTTAATTACGATATGAAAAAGTTCATAGGCAATTGTTTTTCCACCAATTAATTGAATAGTATGTATAAGTCAGGTACTTTTTGGCTGAAAATCATCTGGGGATATGAACTTTCACTTGAATTTTCAGCTATTGATGCACCTGGAGGATTTCTCTTTGAATGGTGGTCTGTCTTTTGGGACATATTCATTGCCAGGACAAATGAGAAACATTCTGAGACCGCTGCCGCCTACATAGAGGTTTGGGGCTATATTTGGAATTGGAATAAAAATTTTTATGTGGACATTACCCCTAGGGTGAGGAGTCCAATCTGATGCAACTTTCTATTTTGGGCTTTATAACTGAATATCAGACACAGCAAATGAAAGCAAGGGAGCATCAACAACTGCAAATGCAGCAGTTGCAACTCATGCAACAGCGCAGTGCTCAGTTGCAAAGAAGGGATCCTAATCATCCTCCACTTGGTGGTCCTATCAATGCTATGAATTCTGAAGGAATAATGGGGCAACCCTCTGCCAGTGTATTGGCAATGAATATGTACGAGGAACGCATGAAACATCCTCATTCAATGGATTCAGAGACATCTCCAGCTCTAATGGATGCCAATAGGTTGGCCCTTCTCAAATCAGCAACCAATCATCAAGGGTAAAATCCGTAGAACTTTTTGNCGATGAATATGTACGAGGAACGCATGAAACATCCTCATTCAATGGATTCAGAGACATCTCCAGCTCTAATGGATGCCAATAGGATGGCCCTTCTCAAATCAGCAACCAATCATCAAGGGTAAAATCCGTAGAACTTTTTGCCGACTTTATATCTAGTAAGTGACTTCCATCCTAGTATCCTATCTATTTGGTTGGATCATTAGTTTCTTTGGGTCTTCTTGTTGATTCAGCCAGTTGATACGAGGCAATTCTGGGAACTTGTCAGCCACTTTGCAGCAAATTCAAGGACGATCTCAACTGACCACTGTAAATAGTTTGCCTAAATGTCTAATATATGCTTCTCAATAATCAGTCTCTTACTTATTTTAACATGCTTGGGCCCATAACCTTTTTAATTTTTTTAGGATATTAAAGNTGCCGACTTTATATATAGTAAGTGACTTCCATCCTAGTATCCTATCTATTTGGTTGGATCATTAGTTTCTTTGGGTCTTCTTGTTGATTCAGCCAGTTGATACGAGGCAATTCTGGGAACTTGTCAGCCACTTTGCAGCAAATTCAAGGACGATCTCAACTGACCACTGTAAATAGTTTGCCTAAATGTCTAATATATGCTTCTCAATAATCAGTCTCTTACTTATTTTAACATGCTTGGGCCCATAACCTTTTTAATTTTTTTAGGATATTAAAGGGGAAATTAACTTGGGAGCAACTCAGAAATCTGTGCAAATGGATTCTTCCTCTATCTATGGACAAGCAATGTTGCAGTCAAAGTCTGGATTGGGCGGTGCAGGTAACATTGCTAAACTTCCAGAATGAAGCAATTTGCGAGATAAACAAAATTTTATCTTATTATCAGCAGAATATTGATTTATATTTTTCAATTTTGTTGGGTACATATTTAGTGGAGTTCCAAGCTCTAAGTTACTCCATCCAGTTTTTGTCATAACTCTGCTTGATTATTAGAGCAAATTTTATTTAGTAGTTCAGACCTTGGATTAGCTTGGCTAGGTGACTTAGTTTGAATTTTAGGCAATCTGATTAGATAATTGACATATCTTGGATATTTTTCCATAAAAGTCCAGCTTCTCCTTAAATTTTCTGACAAATATCCGTCAAATGTCTTCTTTTTCTGGCAATCCCGCGAGATGTAATATGGTGGATATATGCCACTGCGTCCAAAACAATTGGAAGGAAATTTAGGAACATTTTGGATGCTAGATGATTGAGGGATGATATTGGAAACTGCTATGTCTCATCAATATGAGTTCTGCTGTCAAGTATACATTAAATGTTGTAATTTGCTTATTGAAGTAGAGATCATCAGCTATCTGTCTTGGACTTGGGAACAGCGACAAGTGAAGGTTCTTATTGAAGCAATGATGTCTGAAAATGGCCTACATACTAAATGGTGGACATGCAAAAGTGGTCGTGCCTGAATGGCATAAAGTGGAAACACTGCTAAATGATGATTGAGCCTTTGGTAGAAGGAAGAGATACATTTCTTCATGGTAAAATTACTAACATGAATTACTTTGTAGTGAGAACCACTTCTTTCAATGGAATAATGTGCAAAGAATGGCTCAAGCATCTTGATCTTGTCATGATACGTACAATCTACAATGAGTTGCTAACTTTAGTTGGAGCAACTTTCAAAGGGTGCCTTGAGCTTTTTGGATTTAAAACGCTTATCCATGAGCCTCCTTTCAGTATTTCCAAAAGTGCAGTCAAGGCATGCCTAGTGGTGAGACGGCCTAAGTAACTTGAAGGCATAGAGTAGTGCAAGTCCACAAAGCTTCTTGTTTTAGGCTTATTCAACTGTTGCAAGCAATGAAGTAAAGTTGGTTAAAACGTAACATGATTATATTACCCTATGTGATTTAACGTTTCACCTAAGAAATAGAAAGAACAATGTTACACACTTGGAGCTGACTTCGTTAGGATTCTGATCAAGTGAGAGGACTAAACCTCTGACTTTGAAATTCACCTTCTCTAGGGTCTCAACAAGAGAACCAACTTATAAAGAAAGAGATCAGGGAAGTATTTTTGGCCTTTTTCTTGGTTATTTCATGCCAAACCTTAAAGCGAGGTTTTTTTTAACACTCGAAGCCCATACGAATCAATTAATTATGTGTAATTAACATTCTATTCCATGTTTATACCTTTTTTTGTAATTATTTTTTGTTAATTAATATTTGTATATTTCTTTCTATTGCTACGTGGGTACATTATTATTATTTTTTTAATTTGTTAAATGAAGAATTCAAAATTCAAAAACCTTAAGGTCACCCCTCGAAGCTTTACCCCTTGCCTCACTAGGGGAAATGCCTTTTGGCCTTGATAACACAGTCATCCTTTACATGATTTCACCAAAAGCCACACTTCTACGTTTGAATGATTGCAGACCAGAAAAATTTTTGAAGGCTCCAATTTCCTTAAGGATATGCTGCCATATCACAGAAAAACTGAAACGGCAGTCGGACGGGTGCTTGTTCTAAATGGATGAAGAAATTGCTAATATAAGTTATCATAACAACTCTTTTTCGGAGCTGCAAGAATCAGTAGAGATATGCATTGCCAGAAGACATCCTAGTGCAGCTATCCGCAAAACTTAAATAGGCCTGCCCAAAGACAATACATGTTGCATCCATGGTGATTGAAAAATCATCATTTTCAGAAAAAAGATTCCAAACATATCTAGTAAACACAAAGTTTAGAGTTAGTTGACACCAGGATCATAGAGGAATATCTGGACAAAGAATGCATTCTGTTAGATATAATAGTTGGTGAGCTTTGCAGTCCAGCAACTCTCGGCATTTGTGTACTGCTGTCTGTGTATTTATGTGTTTATATATATACTTTTGGGTTTATAGTTCAGTGTAGAGTTTGCTGGTTTAAGATGAACAGAGGAAAGAAGCTGAATTAATTAGTGAAGCAGCCAATTTAAGTGCTACTACACTTGAAAGCCAGATGACTATTAATTAGCATTTCATACCTAGACGCAGGGCCATTTGCTTACCTTTGTTCACTATTTTATTTTTTTGGTTGCCCCAGTACCTCCATGGTAGTAAAATAAGTATCAAGTGTTTTAATATTGATAGTCTTCCTGTTGGAAGATGTCTCCAGAAATATAAAGGGGCTGTGAGACTATGCGCCCATTTATGTATGTTGTATAATTTCAAAAGCTCTTTTCCCCCCTTTAAAGCATGAGAAAATCCATTTGTATTGCTCAACTATGAGCTGAGATTAAGAGAGTAAAAGAAAGAAAGAACAATTGAAAACTTCAAGCTTGGATTTCTTCTGTGACTACTTAGCACTTCCGATCAGCTGAGGACTCCTTATTTAACTGCATATGTTTATGTGTGCATAACATGTCTGAGACCTAGGTGTGGTTATATATATGTATGGATGATTTTTCTTACTTCTGCTGACTCCCTGTGTGATGTGAATAAAGAGGTGAAAATATAGTATCATCCTTAAATGTGCTTAATTTTTGCCTGTTCAATGATAATGAAATTTCTGTCTGCTCTACTGCTGTCATGTGAGGTATCGTGTCCCCATATGTTTTAGTGCTAATTAGGGGGACATGATATATTCTTCTTCTTCACTTGTTCTACCCCTTTAGATGTTTGCATGAATAGCTCACATGCAAGTCATGTTCTTGGCTATTTGGCTGAATCCATGAAATTGTAAGTCTCTTGTAATATCAAATTAATCCTGTGTTATTTTATACGTCTTCGCAGGATTGCATCAAGGTGTCACTGCTCTTCCACTGAAGGGTTGGCCACTGACTGTGAGTTAGACATGTCCTTTTCTATTTTGTATTTCTGTTATTTGATTTAGAGATACATAAGTGCTTGACTATTGGTGCTTTCTTATCTTTCAGGGAATCGATCAATTACGACCAAGTTTAGGTTTGCAAGTACAAAAGCCCAATCTGCAGACTCAGAATCCGTTTCTTTTGGCAACACAACAGCAGCAGGACTTAGCGCAAGCCCAGGCACAAGGCAACATTGGAACTTCATCCAACTATGGGTTATGTGGATTACCAAGGGGTAATTTGAATGCAAAAGATGGTCAGACCACCAGAAATGATGGATCTATATGCTCCCCATTGCAATCAAATTCGCCTAAGGTACGATTATCTTCCAAATATCACAGAGGCGTTGTCTTTTGTGTGCACACATTTATGGCATGCTGATTCATTCAAGAAGCACGGGGATAGTGATGGACAAATTTTTAATAGGATGGTGGAGTTTCAAGGCCACAAGTCTCATGGTCAAAGTGAAGTTTCAAGAAAAAAATATCTATTGCATATGGCAAGTAGTTACATCTATCTAGAGTTACTGATACTAATTATACTTGCATGGAAATAGGAGAGAGAGTTTGGTTGCTGAAAATTACTTTTGAGATGCTTAGCTCCATGTGAGAGTTGAGTGATTCCTCCCTTGAATTTCCTCGTGTGGGTGATTCCCGTCTATCCTTCATTATTATATTAGTTATATGTAATATTCCATATTTGAATATCGATCCACTTTTATCTTTCAATTTTGGTCTGCATCACATGCCAATCCATAGGCCATAGTTGAACATAGGATTCTATATTTTTGCTTGACAATAAATTTAGAAATCTGTGCTAGTATATATCCTTTATGTTTGAATTTAGTGTTATGTGTAGTGTCCATTTGGATAATATATTTCGACCATGTAGATTAAACTTTTTGAAAAAGCAAAAATAATGTGAGCTGGTATTGCTCTCCAAATTTCTAGGCAATTTTTTGGTGCCAATAAAATAAGCATTGAAGACCTGAGGCTGGAATAAGAGCGCTACTATGTATGGACATTTTTCGTTTCTCTAGTTTTCAATGGGCTTCAAAAGCTAAAGGACTTTGAGAGTTGGGGCACTACATCAAGTGTACAATTGAGTTACTGAGTATAATAGCAAACTTATGTGCCCTTTAAATTATAGCCTATTAATGTCTACATTGATTTGCTTCCCATGTCAAGTCTAAAGATTGGGCCCTTCATATTTTAATCAGTGCCATCTAGATTCATGTGATTGAGGTTAGTTTCAATAATAGGGTGCACGTAAGCAATTTTTTTATTTGATAATTAATAGTAAATTTCACTCTGACCCCTTGAGTTTTGTCCATTGTTAAAAAACATGATGACCCCTTGGTGGACATTTGGAAGAAGGGCATTATTGTAAATTTGTCATAATTATTTGTAGCCCATTGCTATATAATAATGTGTAGTGCAGCCTCCGCTATATCCCTTTCTGTATTTTGCTCGTTTCACAATGGATTTGGTGCGATTGTTTGGCTTTTCTTCCGATCTCACGATTTTCCACATAGATCTGTTTGTGATGCTTTTGCATCTTATTTTCCGTGCTTTTGTTATGGCATACTGGATCTTAGATCAGGGAGGTTAATTCCTAACACCCTTAACATATGAAAAATTATATGACAAGTCCAATCAACATTATTTATTTGTTGGCCTTTACAGTTCAACAAAGACTGTTTTACTTTCTGCTTAATATAAAATAAATAAAGGCAAGCCTGAACCCCTAGTCAGAATTGTGTTGAAACTAAATCCAATAACTAAAAAACATATCCCCTTCCCGTAACTTGCAAAATCAGCCCTCCCACTCCCACTCGCACCCGAACCCCATTAGAATCAGCTCCATACTTCTAGAAACCCTTACCATATATAACCACACCATTCTTGCCCTCGATCTAACCCTCACTCGGTTGAAGACATCCTCAGTACTCTGTCTCTGCTCTCTGTACCGTTTCTCTTTCTGTCTCTTCTCTTAGAGGATGGGATCATTGACAACAAGAAGAAATAGGTCCATATATCTGATTTGTTCATAAATCAATTACTGATGAGAGGGGGTCTCGGAGTGATTTGCATAGTTGAGTGGGGTGGAGTTTATGGTGCTTTGTTTCTGGCTCCTCTCTCTTTTCTCATTCGTTGTCTCTCTCAATCAGTCTTTGTCTCTGTTTTTGAGCTGAAGAGGGGGACTGCCATGAATTTAGTTATTTCCTACAATTTGGGTTTAAAAGCTAGATGAGACGTAAGAAAGGGTTGTTTTCGGGTGAATTTGGTTGTAGATTGACAATTTGATTGTAGATTTGGTTACAACTTGGTTGTGGTTTGATTGCTATTTGGTACAGTTGTTCTTGAGAAGGATTGACCACTAAGATGTGTCGTTGATGATGGGTTTGAAGGTCTTGGGCTTGATCAGGAAATTGTTGGGCTAGGTTCTGACAACATCCAAATCTTGTTGGATCTTATCTTCGGATTTTTCTTGTCCTTTTTCTGTAAATGAATGATCTCAAGGTTAGACATGGCTTTGAGATTTTGGTTGTTGCTTATGGTGGGTGTAGTGGAGGGATGATGATGGGTTGATGGGGAAATTGTGTGCGTGTGTGATGATTAATGGTTAAAGTGATTAATCAATGTAATTTAGTACCAGAATTATAGTTCGTGGTTAAATTGCGTAATCAATGTATAGAATTTATAATCAGTTATTAAAATCAGATGGGCTACTATTTGATTAATAAACAAAAAGGAAAGGAATAATGTGAGATGGAAGTTAGGGATAAATTTGTCTTTTGAATAGAAATTTGGGGATAAAATTGTATTTGAATTCTTAAGCTGACTCTAAAGGTGGATTCTTAAATCTGGTGGTTAATGGTTTTTTGCTGGTGAAACTTTTTACCATTGGTAACGTCTATTGGGGGGAGGGGGCCCTTCTGTTATTTGCATTTTAATTTCAGAAGTAAAGGCTGATCGTGTCATTTGTCAAATGTCAGGGGGTTGCTGTGGTTTTTTGTCCTTGGGGTCTGCGTCTAGTTTGCACTTATTTTTGTAATTTATGTGTGCTGGAGTATGTTTATTGATTTGTATGTTTGTGCCTGCATGTTGGTGTTCGCATCTCTAAAGACAACTAAGCTAAAAGAATTGAAACTAAAGCATCCTTATCCTATGCCTGGGGGTTGACATCCTTTAGGACCGACTGCAAGGCTAGTGGAGGGAGACCCCCAGGTTCCGGTGTCCCATCGAATTGAGTTCCAAATCCCCATCTAGCTAGTTCATGAGCAGCAGCATTGGAGGATCTGCGTACATTATTCATGCTCCAATCTATGTGAATCTGCATTAGCTTCTTCAGGTCGTTAATATTTGGGAGCATGCTCCAATGTGGCTTCCTGTGGCTGAGCATTGTTGTATGAGTGATGATTTCTGAATCCCCCTCCAATGTAACATAATTCCATGCTTCAGCTGTTAGTGGATCCACTTCCGGATGAAAGGAGATGATAGATCCCAGGACTGATCCATCATTTTTCCTAGCGANTCTCCTTGGGGTCTGCGTCTAGTTTGCCCTTATTTTTGTAATTTGTGTGTGCTGGAGTATGTTTATTGATTTGTATGTTTGTGCCTGCATGTTGTTGTTCGCATCTCTAAAGACAACTAAGCTAAAAGAATTGAAACTAAAGCATCCTTATCCTGTGCCTGGGGGTTGACATCCTTTAGGACCGACTGCAAGGCTAGTGGAGGGAGACCCTCAGGTTCCGGTGTCCCATCGAATTGAGTTCCAAATCCCCATCTAGCTAGTTCATGAGCAGCAGCATTGGAGGATCTGCGTACATTATTCATGCTCCAATCTATGTGAATCTGCATTAGCTTCTTCAGGTCGTTAATATTTGGGAGCATGCTCCAATGTGGCTTCCTGTGGCTGAGCATTGTTGTATGAGTGATGATTTCTGAATCCCCCTCCAATGTAACATAATTCCATGCTTCAGCTGTTAGTGGATCCACTTCCGGATGAAAGGAGATGATAGATCCCAGGACTGATCCATCATTTTTCCTAGCGACGGCTGCTAAGCTGGATCTTGAGGCACCAATTGCAGCATTAAAATTGATTTTTATTTCGCCTTCCTGATGTGGAGACCACTTTGTATGTAACATTGGCAAGGGTGGGCCTTGGTTAGTTACCACTTTCCACTGCCTCATTCTTAGTTGAGGATAGTAATTCATTGAGGGACACTTGAATTTCATTTAGGATGCGCTGTGGATCTATGACAGCATTCTGGAACAGGAATTTGTTTCTTAACTTCCATATGGCAGTGACCATGGTTCCTATGAAAGGCAGTAGCTGACGGACCAGAAGGCTTGGGTTCAAGATATGATGTATCCACTGCTAGATGTTGAGTTGAGGTGATTGATCTGTGTTGAAACCCAGTGGATGAACCAAATCATCCTTGCTAAAGGGCACATGAAGAAGAGGTGTGAGCTTATTTCAGAGGATTGGTGGCAAAGTGAACAGGAGGTGTCTGGGACGCGGAATCTTGTAGCCATTATATTTCTAGTTGGAAAGGAATCAGAGGCTAGTTGCCACATTGTAACTTTGTGCCTCTCATGGATTGACGAAGTTTCTTCCAGTCTGCTTGTGCTAGACGGTGACTGGATTCATCGAGTTGCTGTCTCAATGTGCTAAAAGCAGAGCTAATCTCAAAGGTTCCAGTTTTTGATGGGATCCAAGCGATGTGATCAGGAACTGGGAAGGTGGGGATTTTGATTCTGGTTATGTCTTGGACTGTTTGTGGTGAGAAAAGTGTGGATAGAAGTTTCCTATCCCATGTGTTAGGGGATTGGTCAATCAGCTCAGCAACAAGGTTTGGGATGTCTTCAGCCTCAGGTTGCAGTTCCAGTTGTGGTCTGAATGAAGGAGTATAGGGAATTCATGGTTCTGTCCATATGTTGATTGAGTGGCTATCTCCCACAATGTAGCATGCCCCTTTTTCTATTATATGCCTGCTTCAAGAATTTGCCTCCAAATTGGTGAATCTCCTTGATGGTGTTCAACATAGAAGAATGAGCTCCTTGGANCCATCTCCCACAATGTAGCATGCCCCTTTTTCTATTATATGCCTGCTTCCAAATTGGTGAATCTCCTTGATGGTGTTCAACATAGAAGAATGAGCTCCTTGGACAGTACTTCTTACTGAATTGAGCAGTCCACATTTTATCTTTGTGCGCCAGCAGCTGCCATCCCAATTTAGCCATCAAGGCCATGTTAATATCACGCATCTTGCAGCCCAACCCTCCTACTAATTTTGGCCTACACATATTATCCCATGATGTAGTTACCACAGTTTTATGGCTGTCAGTGTGTCCCCGCCAGAATTGTCTTATCTTGCTATCAATTTTTCATTTAGGNGAAGCCCAACCCTCCTACTAATTTTGGCCTACACATATTATCCCATGATGTAGTTACCATAGTTTTATGACTGTCAGTGTGTCCCCGCCAGAATTGTCTTATCTTGCTATCAATTTTTCATTTAGGAGATGCGCTTTTAGTAAATTAGTGCCGTCCATTCATCTCTTAAAATGCCTTGTCTGACACCTTTAGTTTGTTCACTGACTTTGGTGATTGAGGACATTATTTTGTGCGTTGCTATAAATGCTTTTAACTGAGTCTTTGCTGGGTATTGAACAGATGAAGATGCCCCAGATGCAACAGTCTTCTCAACAACAGGACCAGCTGCAGCAGCAGCAACTGCTACAGGTCGTGTGTGATTGTAAAGATATAGCTATAGGATCTCTTCTGATGAACTGAATCATTAATTTATTTTGTAGAAATATGCTATTTCCAACAATAATTCCATTTCTGCTGCCTTAATAAGCATTTGCAATTAGAACAACTTGTGCAATTGTTTTATTTTTTCATCACTTCTGTTCTTTGTTCTTTTAGAATATAAATTAGTTACTTCTCAAGTGGCTTCTTGTTTTATACAGGACAACAGAAAAAGAAAACATTCTTCTTCCGGAGCTGCCAATAGTACAGGTACAGGAAATACTATGGGGCCGTCCCCCAACTCTCCACCATCAACTCACACACCTGGTGATGGAATACCTACTTCTAGCAGCATGCAGCACGCAAACAGTGTGCCTAAGAGCTTGATGTATGGTGCAGAAGGAACAGGTGGTCTCGTATCATCTACGAATCATCTGGTACACCCATTTAAGTTTTCATGCACAGAATTTACTCATTCAGTTTCTAGAACCTGTGCTTCAGCTTTGCCAATATAGTATNAGGGAACAGGTGGTCTCGTATCATCTACGAATCATCTGGTACACCCATTTAAGTTTTCATGCGCAGAATTTACTCATTCAGTTTCTAGAACCTGTGCTTCAGCTTTGCCAATATAGTATTTGTACATCTCAGATCTCCGTGTGATATTTTGACCTGTTAATGTACTGTCTTGAACAGAGTTAATTCGGTAAAAATAGCTTCATTTTTGAAATCAAAATTTGAATGTAAGAATTTTGGTTTTTAGCTATCAGATCTGTATTGGTGAACCTTCTCATCAATATGTAAATTTACGAGAAAAAATGATGTGAAACATTACTATGGTTTTCAAACCTTGTTTCTTGATGCAGGACGACATCGAACATTTTGCAGATGTTGAATCATTTCTATCTCATGATGGAGGAGACGGGAGGGATTTATATGATGGCACAGTAAAGCAAGCTCTTACTGAGCAGAAAACAGAATCTTCGAAGGGTAATATATTGTGTGTATTTTATCCGCTATTTTGATAGATGATGTTCTATTTTTCTCATGCCCAAATGCTCTATTTTCAGGTTTTTCCTTTGGGGAAGTTGGTTGTATACGTACAAGAAATAAAGTTACTTCGTGTCATTTTTCTTCTGATGGGAAGTTGCTAGCTTGTGCTGGGCATGACAAGAAGGTATAATGCATAATCCATCATAAGGCTTCATGTCCTGTCACGAGTGCAGTCTGGTAACATTGTGTTTCATTTATACTGATTCGTGACATAACTTGAAGATTTTTGCTGTCACAAAGGACTTTCTTCTTAAAGATCTTTTAATATTTCTGGCTTATGTGCATTGGCACATGCTTGTCTATTGTCTTCTAACCTTTGATAGTCGTGTCATTCTAGTCTGCTTCTTTGTCAAAAGCTGGTATCAATCCGTCACTTCTATATGGACCATTTTAGTCTAGTACCCCCTAAGTAACCCCGTGGGTACTAAAACCACATAAAAGCTAGGCTTGTGAAATGAAATTTGAATGAGACTATTACGATCAGAGGAGTACATCATACCATAAATATGATTACCGGTTAAACCTGAGTAGCAACAGCATGGGCAGTGAGAGCGGATCGGATACCGTGAATTATGATTTTAGAGGAATACAAAAAATAAACTAATACGGATGCTTAAATTAAGATATATGACATAAAGTCAACCCTGACTGGATACGGGGTAAACGAGGGCGCTCTTGCTCTAGTTATTAGTGGAATGAGGGATCAAGAGACGGATTTGGGGGGGGAGGGGGGGAGATGACCTATCAATCATTGGTGGACCTTCCCGTGAACCAGTCATGGGGTTCCTTAACCGTGTCGTTTAGGGTCTAGAATTCTATCTCTACTCTAATTGGGGGTTTTGGTTCGAAGGTTATAAAATGTGGTATGAGTTCATCTATCTCTATCAGTTTGGGTTCAAGGGAGGGTGATTTAGGGGACCCAAATTTTAGATCTCTTCTTTATCGATCTCATCATTTGAAGTCTCCGGTGAAGGAGACAAGCGTGAGACACCGAACATGTTCTATCCTCAACTTCCATCCGTCATTAGTAATCACACTTCATTTTTTCCTATTCACTAGTACACTGTGCGCTACAATTAGCAGCCTTTTTACTAGTAATTGACTAATAAGGAAAATTGCCAGCGTGCTAGCTAGCTACTTATAGCCCCTACTTTATTATATGTTGGGATATTTAAAAAAGTGCTGGTTTGGAACCCTATACAAGGGGTTGTTTGCTGCTCGCCCCTATCTCTATAGGGGCTTATGCACTCCACTCCTTACCACTAAACGACGAAGTCAGGAGCGGAAGGAAGGACTTGAACCCTTAATCTCAGCCTTAGCAAGGCTATACTCTATCATTAAGCTATTTCTGCTAGCTACGGTAGTGGCAAAGCACTACTGAGCAATTTACGTATCATTTGATACGGACGACTTCTGTTTTTCCGCTGGACCATAGTCTTGACCTCCGATTAAGCTACGAAAACGAGTAGGTAGGCAGCTAGGTTGGGTAGGCGGCTAGGTAGGAGGGCGGTTGGGCTGCTTCATTGGCAAAATAAATGCCATAGAGAAGTTAAAAAAATTACAACACTGGTAAAAAGGCATAACTATTTCTTTTTTTTTTTTTTTGCATGTATTAGGCTGTTCTTTGGAACATGGGCACCCTGCAAACTGAGAGCACCGCCGAAGAGCACCAACATTTAATTACGGATGTCCGTTTCAGGCCGAATTCTACTCAGCTAGCAACAGCTTCATTTGATATGTCTGTCAGATTGTGGGATGCAGCTAATGTAATTAGTTCTGCCTCTTCTGTATCGTAACATTTTATGTTTCACGTATTTATAAGTTAGATGTTTGATATGTTAACAATCCCTGCTATTCGTTCAATAACAAGCCTGATATATGCTCCTAACAGTCTGACAATTGGAAAGTTGCACTTCACAAATTATGCATGCACTATTCAATTGCTACAATCACATATTTAACTTCTTGTTGCAGCCAAGCTACTGTTTGAATGCATATACAGGGCATACTTCACATGTTATGTCCCTAGATTTCCATCCCAAGAAGAGTGATCTTTTCTGTTTTTGCGATAGTAACAATGAAATTCGCTATTGGAATATTAGCCCATTCAAATGCACTCGAGTTTCCAAGGTTAGTTTTGTCTTTAAATTACATCTTACATTTTTCTGTCTCTTTTTTTTTCATGCTTTTCTTTTAAAGTTATTTTGGAGTGAAATTGGATTATGATCGATTTCTAGCAAGGTGGTAGTGCACAAGTGAGATTTCAACCAATAATGGGACATCTACTGGCAGCAGCGTCAGATAAAGTGGTGTCCATCTTTGATGTAGAAACCGACAGGCAAACCCTTTCTTTCCAGGTGTGAATGTGTTAACTGTATTTAGTGAATGATTCCATTGTGAGGTTTTTGTTGCTATTGCATGGTCTGCTGTCTCCTTTGGAATGTTGTGACCAGATTCAGTGTTTATTTTCTGTATTTAACGCATTCATCCTATTTTCAGGGACATTCTGGAGGGGTAATTTACCTGTGCTGGGATCCTACAGGCGATTATTTGGCATCTGTCAGTGGGGAGTCCGTGAAAGTTTGGTCATTAGCCTCAGGAGAGTGCATTCATGATCTCAGCTCCAATGGAAACCAGTTTCATTCTTGTGTTTTCCATCCAAGTTATTCTGCTCTCTTGGCGATCGGTGGACTCCGGGTAATTGCTTCTATATCTTTTTGGTTAATAACGACAGTTTCCACATGACCATCTTCTTTAGTACGTGTCCAGATTTGAGGCTGAAAAAGAACAGAGAAGAAAACAAAAAGGAGTGACTTATTTAATGCAAAAAGGGATGACCATTCATAAATATACTAGTAGACAGGAAGTTACAAAAATATCTTCACTAATAACTAAATCCACTAATTGTAGCACTCTCCTTTAATCTGGAGCATAGCATATATATTAGTATCAATTATGCCCACTTGTTACACAGATCCAGGGGCGGAGCCACCCTTGGGCTAGGGGTGGGCCCATCTTCCCCCCCCCCCCCCTCAATTTTTTTTCTTCATATTAAACATGTATTTTTTGAAATAAAATTTAGACATATTTAATTGTACCCACCTTAATATTGTGTTTTGGTGATATTGATTTAAATAGACCCCACCTTAATTATTATTAACTTTTTGAGCAATGTTATTGAAACCTAATTTTACGACCTAATATATTGCGACATTAAGTATAATAGTGAGTTTTAATATTTAATAAACTCTACTATTTATTCAATGGTCACAAACCTACCATTGGGTCTCCATCAATTAAATCTCAAATTAAGTACAACTAATATAATTGTTAACTTTTAGACATATCCGAATATATTTTGAACATATTGATGTTATGTTATAATTTTTTTTAAATTGTAAGGTTATTTCGTTATTATATAAAAATGTGTTTTGTTATGTAGTAAACANAACAATGTTATTGAAACCTAATTTTACGACCTAATATATTGCGACATTAAGTATAATAGTGAGTCTTAATATTTAATAAACTCTACTATTTATTCAATGGTCACAAACCTACCATTGGGCCTCCATCAATTAAATCTCAAATTAGATACAACTAATATAATTGTTAACTTTTAAACATATCCGAATATATTTTGAACATATTGATGTTATGTTATAATTTTTTGAAATTGTAAGGTTATTTCGTTATTATATAAAAATGTGTTTTGTTATGTAGTAAACAATAGGATCTTAAATGGAAGATTGTTACAATGATTTTATATATAAAAGAAATACTATTGATAAAATTAATTTATAACACTTTCAAATAATAAAAACATACTAAGGTCAATTGTAAATAATAATAATTAGTCAAATTCTCAATAAGAAGTTTTAATTATTATTTTTTTGTTTATGAGTATATCGATTTTTAATCTTTTATGTTTAAAAAGTATTAAATATAATTTTAATTTTTTTTTAATAGACTGTAANTGTATAAAAGAAATATTATTGATAAAATTAATTTATACCACTTTCAAATAATAAAAACATACTAAGGTCAATTGTAAATAATAATAATTAGTCAAATTCTCAATAAGAAGTTTTAATTATTATTTTTTTGTTTATGAGTATATCGATTTTTAATCTTTTATGTTTAAAAAGTATTAAATATAATTTTAATTTTTTTTTAATAGACTGTAAAAGTTCATAAATTTATATTAACTTTCTTACCCAAAGTTTTAGTAAACATTATGAGGATGTAATAATATGAATAAACATGATTATCACAAGATATCATCACAGGCTTGTTACCAGAAGCCCCCAGCCATCAGCTTCTGTAANTTTCGATTTTTAATCTTTTATGTTTAAAAAGTATTAAATATAATTTTAAATTTTTTTTAATAGACCGTAAAAGTTCATAAATTTATATTAACTTTCTTACCCAAAGTTTTAGTAAACATTATGAGGATGTAATAATATGAATAAACATGATTATCACAAGATATCATCACAGGCTTGTTACCAGAAGCCCCCAGCCATCAGCTTCTGTAATAACATATAGCAAATTGTGAGTCATACATTTGTGCTTGTTAGCACTAGATTTAACTACCATATTTCTTTTTTACTCTTCCTATAACAAGGTTGCTACTCACAAAAGTGTAGAGACACCAGCCATAGGTGTAAGTGTACCTTTTTTCGTTCTTCTAGTTTACTTCGCTCGCTTGACAAATCCAATTCAAAGGCGACTTGGATTGTAATGACTTCACTAATTCATTTGCACTCAGCNTGTAAGTGTACCTTTTTTCGTTCTTCTAGTTTACTTCGCTCGCTTGACAAGTCCAATTCAAAGGCGACTTGGATTGTAATGACTTCACTAATTCATTTGCACTCAGCTGCAGTGCTCCCTTGGCCTCTGAAGTAATTTGCCAATATGTACTGGGCTGGTCACAGTTGCATACTTCTTTTTTTTCTTTTCTTGTTTTTGCGTGGAGTACAACAGTCTTGTACCGAATTCANGTAGGGTAGGGGGGAGGGCGGTTGGGCTGCTTCATTGGCAAAATAAATGCCATAGAGAAGTTAAAAAAATTACAACACTGGTAAAAAGGCATAACTATTTCTTTTTTTTTTTTTTTTGCATGTATTAGGCTGTTCTTTGGAACATGGGCACCCTGCAAACTGAGAGCACCGCCGAAGAGCACCAACATTTAATTACGGATGTCCGTTTCAGGCCGAATTCTACTCAGCTAGCAACAGCTTCATTTGATATGTCTGTCAGATTGTGGGATGCAGCTAATGTAATTAGTTCTGCCTCTTCTGTATCGTAACATTTTATGTTTCACGTATTTATAAGTTAAATGTTTGATATGTTAACAATCCCTGCTATTCGTTCAATAACAAGCCTGATATATGCTCCTAACAGTCTGACAATTGGAAAGTTGCACTTCACAAATTATGCATGCACTATTCAATTGCTACAATCACATATTTAACTTCTTGTTGCAGCCAAGCTACTGTTTGAATGCATATACAGGGCATACTTCACATGTTATGTCCCTAGATTTCCATCCCAAGAAGAGTGATCTTTTCTGTTTTTGCGATAGTAACAATGAAATTCGCTATTGGAATATTAGCCCATTCAAATGCACTCGAGTTTCCAAGGTTAGTTTTGTCTTTAAATTACATCTTACATTTTTCTGTCTCTTTTTTTTTCATGCTTTTCTTTTAAAGTTATTTTGGAGTGAAATTGGATTATGATCGATTTCTAGCAAGGTGGTAGTGCACAAGTGAGATTTCAACCAATAATGGGACATCTACTGGCAGCAGCGTCAGATAAAGTGGTGTCCATCTTTGATGTAGAAACCGACAGGCAAACCCTTTCTTTCCAGGTGTGAATGTGTTAACTGTATTTAGTGAATGATTCCATTGTGAGGTTTTTGTTGCTATTGCATGGTCTGCTGTCTCCTTTGGAATGTTGTGACCAGATTCAGTGTTTATTTTCTGTATTTAACGCATTCATCCTATTTTCAGGGACATTCTGGAGGGGTAATTTACCTGTGCTGGGATCCTACAGGCGATTATTTGGCATCTGTCAGTGGGGAGTCCGTGAAAGTTTGGTCATTAGCCTCAGGAGAGTGCATTCATGATCTCAGCTCCAATGGAAACCAGTTTCATTCTTGTGTTTTCCATCCAAGTTATTCTGCTCTCTTGGCGATCGGTGGACTCCGGGTAATTGCTTCTATATCTTTTTGGTTAATAACGACAGTTTCCACATGACCATCTTCTTTAGTACGTGTCCAGATTTGAGGCTGAAAAAGAACAGAGAAGAAAACAAAAAGGAGTGACTTATTTAATGCAAAAAGGGATGACCATTCATAAATATACTAGTAGACAGGAAGTTACAAAAATATCTTCACTAATAACTAAATCCACTAATTGTAGCACTCTCCTTTAATCTGGAGCATAGCATATATATTAGTATCAATTATGCCCACTTGTTACACAGATCCAGGGGCGGAGCCACCCTTGGGCTAGGGGTGGGCCCATCTTCCCCCCCCCCCCCCTCAATTTTTTTTCTTCATATTAAACATGTATTTTTTGAAATAAAATTTAGACATATTTAATTGTACCCACCTTAATATTGTGTTTTGGTGATATTGATTTAAATAGACCCCACCTTAATTATTATTAACTTTTTGAGCAATGTTATTGAAACCTAATTTTACGACCTAATATATTGCGACATTAAGTATAATAGTGAGTTTTAATATTTAATAAACTCTACTATTTATTCAATGGTCACAAACCTACCATTGGGTCTCCATCAATTAAATCTCAAATTAAGTACAACTAATATAATTGTTAACTTTTAGACATATCCGAATATATTTTGAACATATTGATGTTATGTTATAATTTTTTTTAAATTGTAAGGTTATTTCGTTATTATATAAAAATGTGTTTTGTTATGTAGTAAACAATAGGATCTTAAATGGAAGATTGTTACAATGATTTTATGTATAAAAGAAATATTATTGATAAAATTAATTTATACCACTTTCAAATAATAAAAACATACTAAGGTCAATTGTAAATAATAATAATTAGTCAAATTCTCAATAAGAAGTTTTAATTATTATTTTTTTGTTTATGAGTATTTCGATTTTTAATCTTTTATGTTTAAAAAGTATTAAATATAATTTTAAATTTTTTTTAATAGACCGTAAAAGTTCATAAATTTATATTAACTTTCTTACCCAAAGTTTTAGTAAACATTATGAGGATGTAATAATATGAATAAACATGATTATCACAAGATATCATCACAGGCTTGTTACCAGAAGCCCCCAGCCATCAGCTTCTGTAATAACATATAGCAAATTGTGAGTCATACATTTGTGCTTGTTAGCACTAGATTTAACTACCATATTTCTTTTTTACTCTTCCTATAACAAGGTTGCTACTCACAAAAGTGTAGAGACACCAGCCATAGGTCTAAGTGTACCTTTTTTCGTTCTTCTAGTTTACTTCGCTCGCTTGACAAATCCAATTCAAAGGCGACTTGGATTGTAATGACTTCACTAATTCATTTGCACTCAGCTGCAGTGCTCCCTTGGCCTCTGAAGTAATTTGCCAATATGTACTGGGCTGGTCACAGTTGCATACTTCTTTTTTTTCTTTTCTTGTTTTTGCGTGGAGTACAACAGTCTTGTACCGAATTCATAATTTTCAATAATTGTGTCTCATTTTCACTGCATTGCAGTCAATGGAGCTGTGGAACATGGCTGAGAATAAGTGCATGACGGTTCCAGCCCATGAGAATATTATTGCTGCTTTGGCACAGTCACCCGTCACCGGTATGGTTGCCTCTGCAAGTCATGACAGCTCTGTCAAGTTATGGAAATAAATAAAGATGACAGGATTATGATATCGGATTTCCTTAGGAGTCACTCTACGTAAATTTTTCAGGGCGTTAGGGCTTTGCAATGCTGTTTTTCTGTACATTACTGCAAGAAACGCTGTCGTTCTATATTTGCTAATTTGAAACATTTCACTCNAACTGAGAGCACCGCCGAAGAGCACCAACATTTAATTACGGATGTCCGTTTCAGGCCGAATTCTACTCAGCTAGCAACAGCTTCATTTGATATGTCTGTCAGATTGTGGGATGCAGCTAATGTAATTAGTTCTGCCTCTTCTGTATCGTAACATTTTATGTTTCACGTATTTATAAGTTAGATGTTTGATATGTTAACAATCCCTGCTATTCGTTCAATAACAAGCCTGATATATGCTCCTAACAGTCTGACAATTGGAAAGTTGCACTTCACAAATTATGCATGCACTATTCAATTGCTACAATCACATATTTAACTTCTTGTTGCAGCCAAGCTACTGTTTGAATGCATATACAGGGCATACTTCACATGTTATGTCCCTAGATTTCCATCCCAAGAAGAGTGATCTTTTCTGTTTTTGCGATAGTAACAATGAAATTCGCTATTGGAATATTAGCCCATTCAAATGCACTCGAGTTTCCAAGGTTAGTTTTGTCTTTAAATTACATCTTACATTTTTCTGTCTCTTTTTTTTTCATGCTTTTCTTTTAAAGTTATTTTGGAGTGAAATTGGATTATGATCGATTTCTAGCAAGGTGGTAGTGCACAAGTGAGATTTCAACCAATAATGGGACATCTACTGGCAGCAGCGTCAGATAAAGTGGTGTCCATCTTTGATGTAGAAACCGACAGGCAAACCCTTTCTTTCCAGGTGTGAATGTGTTAACTGTATTTAGTGAATGATTCCATTGTGAGGTTTTTGTTGCTATTGCATGGTCTGCTGTCTCCTTTGGAATGTTGTGACCAGATTCAGTGTTTATTTTCTGTATTTAACGCATTCATCCTATTTTCAGGGACATTCTGGAGGGGTAATTTACCTGTGCTGGGATCCTACAGGCGATTATTTGGCATCTGTCAGTGGGGAGTCCGTGAAAGTTTGGTCATTAGCCTCAGGAGAGTGCATTCATGATCTCAGCTCCAATGGAAACCAGTTTCATTCTTGTGTTTTCCATCCAAGTTATTCTGCTCTCTTGGCGATCGGTGGACTCCGGGTAATTGCTTCTATATCTTTTTGGTTAATAACGACAGTTTCCACATGACCATCTTCTTTAGTACGTGTCCAGATTTGAGGCTGAAAAAGAACAGAGAAGAAAACAAAAAGGAGTGACTTATTTAATGCAAAAAGGGATGACCATTCATAAATATACTAGTAGACAGGAAGTTACAAAAATATCTTCACTAATAACTAAATCCACTAATTGTAGCACTCTCCTTTAATCTGGAGCATAGCATATATATTAGTATCAATTATGCCCACTTGTTACACAGATCCAGGGGCGGAGCCACCCTTGGGCTAGGGGTGGGCCCATCTTCCCCCCCCCCCCCCCCCCCCC